ATTTTTTTAATTTGCCGCCTAAAATTCAGAATTTACATTTTGAATTTGCCGCCAAATGATATTAGTTTTGGCCCGTCCGTATTTGGCGCTAGAAATTCTCTGCCAAAACTTTATATGGGGGCTACTTTACTAGGGGGGAAAACTCTGGAAAATAGTACGATATTTTCCAGTAAATTATTTTTAATATTATATTATTAATATATGCCTTTATATGTGTAATGAAATGCAAAACCTTTATAAACTAGGTTTTAATATACAAGAAATTAGCATTGTTTTGTTTGAATCAATAACATGACAATTACATAAATATGACATTAACTAAAACTAAGATGACAAATGACAAACACAGTTCAAAATGTCTGGTCGTAGTAGCTTATCCATATTTGGATTTTCCTCACATATAATCAATCTAGGGCTTGGTGGATCTTTGATAAACTGTTCATTAGAAACCGCAGATTCCGATCCACTAACACAGTCCAGTAGAGATGCATCTCCTCGTGGTGCAAGTTGTCTTAAGGTTACTGTTGTTTCTTTACCATCTTCACGTCTAACAACAGCATAGTTTGGATTTGCTTCAATTAGCTGTACTTCTTCAACGAGTGGTTCATATTTGGACTGCCTCACATTTTTTTTTTTTTTCATAAATACTTTTCCGGGGATTATCAACCATGAAGGAAGCGCATTCGCTCATGAGGGGTACTGTTTGTAGATGTACACAAAAGAGAACGAATTGAATGAAGAGCTATCTCAACTACTTCTTTCCACTGTTCAGTTTTTAAATGTTTATATTTTAAAGCAAGAGAAATAGTTTTCCATATAATTCCATTATATCTTTCTGTCTGGATATTGCCTTCAGGATTGTAAGATGTTGTTTGGCTTGTAGGTATTCCTTGTGAATGGAGAAATGTTTTGACTTCTTGAGACATAAATGCCCCCCTTGATCTGAATGGATATTACTAGGCATTACAAATAAAGAGAATAAGTTTGTTAGAGACTTCACAACAGTTTTCGCTGAAATATCTTGACATGGATATACAAAGAGGAATCGAGAATATTCGTCAACAATTGTTAAGGCCGTATGACACTATGCATTTTCTTGTATCATTTCTTATATCGTTTCTGATATAACAAAAAAATGGATAGTGTCATACAAGCGTATAGTTTCTTATGTCAATAACGATACAAGAATTTGTGTCCACTGCATTTTCTTGTACAAGAAATGCGCCAATTTGTGCGCAAAGCCGCAAAAACATAAAACTTCTGTCATATTGGCAATTGGCGGCTGGAGGAGATAAACAATTAGACCAAGCAGACATCAGATAAAAGTGCCCACAAACAATACCCAAGATTAGAACATCAGTAGCCAAATTGAAAAACAATAAATCACAGAGATTGGATCAAATAGCATCGGAACTACTGAAAGTAGGAGATGTTTTACTAAAACAATACATGAGAGTAGAATTTCAAGAGCAAGCCATTCAAACACATAATTAAAAAAAAACAACTAAATTATTACAACCAAATTATTATTTCTGTCTTCCATTACAGCCTGTTGAATATCTTCAAAAATTGTGGTTTCCAATTTAGTTTTAATATTGGTACATTTTATTTCTTTCATCTTTGCACCGCAGTATTTTAAAAAATAATCAACAGCATTTGTACTCAGTCCCCAGTAGCTTGGGGTCATCAGGTACTGCAGTTCTATTTTTATAGGTGTCAAAATTTCGACTAATCATGTGTAATTATTATTATTATTGCAAGTGTGTATGAACTTTTTTTAATTACTATTAACCAAATCTTTATAAAAATTGTGATGAACAGGTAACATTAAGTTTTTATTGCACAGTTCCAAAAGGTGTTGCTTGGTTTTTTGCGGATATCGATGGAGGCTTTATGTACGCCTTTTTTAAATCGATTACTGCTTCCACAGTTGCTGAACGCCCCCTTGTCGATGCTTTAAAATGGACCTCTTCGAACTCATCAGCATTATAATCTGTTTTATAGAAGAAAGATCCAGGATTGCTTTTGACAACTTTAATAACTTAGATATCATTCCAGACTACCTTTTCATCTTTTGTATTCTTTGTAAAATTTCTTCCAATTTTTGAATTGAGATCTTTAAAGTCATAAAAGTCTTCTGTTAACATTTCTTTTAAATTGTAAGGATTTCCCTCTTTTTTGCAGATCTTATGATGACAGGCCATTGTGCAGGAACATAAATGGGACCTGTTTTAAGTATTTTCTTCTTTTGCCTCTCAATAGTTGCGTGCATGGCGTCCCCTTCATTTTGGGTATGTCCCACTGTTAAAAATTTATGTGTGTTTGATTTAACATTAATTTTTGCAATTGCATAGAGATACATGGTAACTATAAATTTATTTTTATTTTGCCCAACACAATTGTCGCTATAAAATATAACGTCTTTATCATTACAATGATTTGAAAGATAATCAAACAGACACGTAGATATTTCGTTTGAGCCGCGGTTAGCAATAGCCTCGTGCCAAAAGTAACAGTAACCAGTCTTTTGCAATATCTGAAAAATTGTAAAGTTGAAGCAGTTCAAGCGGCATTTATAGTAGAAGCTTGAAACATCCCCACAAGGTGTGAGAAGGATCGCCTGCAAATCAAAACAAGCTACCAATACTTGAGAATCATCTTTTGCTCTTGCTAGATCTTGTGCTTTTTCTTCTCTGCTTCTAATTTTATTATGGATATGTTTATTATAAAGAGTAGCTTTCTGTTCAGCAGAAGAATTTTTATATGATTCACAAATTGCGCACGGATCTTTTTTTGGCTGAAAGAAAGTTATGTTAAACTCAGTTTTGAAAATATGTTCGTAAGTGCATTTTTTAGCCACAGGCCTTCCTTCACTCTCTTCCTGTAGTTTGTAGTAGCGATACATTTGAGCTAAAGTAAGTGAACCATCTATGTATTCCTTTGTAGTTTGTGCTCTAAGATAATGTGATTCTACCCTTTGGAAAGAATTTATGTGTTCTTTTATTTTATTTTTCACTGGTCCAGTAACCGTTACTCGTTTCATAAAAATATACCTGCTCTATGTAATCATCTTGGCGAGGGTCTGTATGTAGATTTTCTTGATCTTCAAATGTATTTGCGGTATGATTCGATTGCACGGGTAACGCAACCGGAGTAAGCTAAAAAATTACATACATTAAGTAAAACCTCACTGTCATTTTTGTTGAAATACAAACCTCCGTCAACACAAAGGAGATGTCATTCATAACCTCAGAAACCTCTGAATTGTCTCTCAGATTCTCATCATCTTTAAGATTGCTTTGCAAAGCTAGTCCAAGCATTTTTCTTGCCCTTGACATCGTGTTTGATAATAAAGTTAATAAGAATATCACTATACACTGTTTTCAGACTTTAAATCAAATAGTTGTACACTAAAAACGTGGATACTTCGTGCATAAATAATTGAGAACTGATAAAATCGTACCACTAATCTAACAATTTTTGCAGTTGTGGCCGTATTGAATTGCATCGGTTGTATTGTGGCGGAGTGTATTATCGCCACATCTCCTAGTTATGGCCATATTGCATTTCAAAACCCTACAGTGTAATACCGAAATATCTTACTTTGTACTTATCCAAGACAATTTCAGTTAAGGTTGTATTGCATTAGATGGGGTATCATATATGCAACCTTTTTAAAGCCTTAACTCAAAATTGGAATTTTTGGAGTTGTGGCACTATTGAACGAGATGTACGATATTTTTACGCATAAGTTTTATCAAAAATGTGTGCAAATACATGTTGCGTATTTAATTCTGCTAATAATAGCAAAAATAGTGAGTGTAGTTTTTATAGGTTCCCAAAGATTACATATAAATTAGGGAAAAGAAAAAGATGAATTCGTGCTATTAATATGAAAAAGTAAATATCACATAATTTCATTTTTATGCAATTGAAATAGGAAAAATTTAAATAATTTACCTTGAATGATATTTCATAAGGCTTCAATCTAACTGCAGATGACTTTAGCTTTTATATCATAACTTTTACTATTATTGTTTTTAATTATATGCTCTTTTGCGTGAAAAACTTGATTTGCCAGTACTAGATTTTTCCCTTTCTTTTCCGTTTGGAGTTGAAAAGATATATTATGATGAATTTTGAGAAACTCAGTTTTTAATACTACATTTATTTTGTACATAAACTGAAAAAATATAGTTAAAAAATTAATTTATTAATAATTGTCAATTTCGCATGTATTTAACAATGTCAAACATATGTCTTATATTTAACCTGAAAATTGGGACTCCAAAATTGTCAGATGAAGGCGGTAGGTGTCGCATCAGTCACGCACGGAGCGAATAAAGTAGTTTCAAACATGTTCTACCATCCATCCATTAATAGAGTACCGGCATGTAAGTAATGTTTATTTATTTGCTCATTTATTAATTTATTACAATCTAATAGACTATTTGATAACAATTTGTGGGCCTTACCTTGTGTGTTTAAACTTTTAAAACTTTTTATACCTTTTTATTCAACTCAATCATTTAAATAAAACCACAGACATGTAATATTGGCATAATTATTGTAATTTATAACATCTAATTTGTTTATCTTTATTAGACAACACCCTAATATGGGTTTTTATCATTTCAGCATTTGTTTAACTTTGTATCGAGACCTGAAGATGCTTTGCATATTGTAGAAAGCGAAACCGGTCGTCTGATAGTTAAATTAAATTGATTGTGAGTAAGTCTTATTTATTATTTCTTTACCTATTTGAAATGGACTCACACAAGCAACACATTCATGAACTTTGTTTTTATTTCTGCACAGATAGGACAATATGCTCGTATATTTCTTCGATGTTTCCGTATCTAAATTCTATTAATTTTTGGTCTAGACGTTGTTTGTATAGTTAGTTCTCTTATTTATGGGCATATATCTGGCCCGTACTAAAACAAAACTTCTGGAAAGAAAGAAGATCTAACGTCTGTCATCTGTCATGTCATTAATTCAAATTTTACATGTCAAATATCTTTTAGTTGTGTTATCGTTTTATTTTTTAAACAATTTTATTTTCATGTTGAATTAAATATAATTATTAAATAATATCTTTACCGAAAATGCCTCTTCCAGCATCATACACTCCAAATTACTTCTCAATGGAAGATATATTAGCTACTCAAGAACGAACACCTTGTAAAATTCTTCAGACTATTCCAAATATGGGTAAATTCATTTATTTACTTGTTTTATTTATTATGTTTTCTAACGAAAGAGTGTTAAATTTTTTTGTGTGTAACCAAGTATTGCATGATTGTATTTTATTAAAATTAATTGCTTAACATTATTTCATTCTAGGTCATCTAAATTCATCTTCTGTTGAAAAAGATCTCCAACCAGGGACCTCGCACGAGTTCCCTTTGTGGTTAGTTAGTGAAATATCATTTAGTCGTCAACCTCTAGTACAGCCTGATTTACCCAAAATATACAAAGAAGCATATCGAGAGATTTTAAAAGCTGATGCCTGTGCAGTAGACCTTCACAAATTCAATCTGTATTTTTATGAATTAGGTGCCAACATTAAACACTTTGATAGAAAAGAAGAAGTGCATGAAACTTTATTACATGTAAGTTTTCTGAAATGGTTCAATTACAGCAATTTTTAATAAAGTTTTAAAAAATCCCAATTAGTCACCTTTGATTGAAGTCAGTTTTTATAACCAATGTAAATTTTGCATGAATGCTCTGCTATAAATTGAGGCTGGAACTGAAGCTTTATAGCATGCTATTTTAATTGATATGTGGGTAACTAATATTACAACAATTAACAATTATTTGCAAATTGATTTTATAATGTTATATAAAAATCATAAATTACAATTATATTGTCCTAAGATTGTTTGTTTTTTGTCACTTGTACTTTCTTCTTATTGTGCCATCTCCTTTTGAAGGTTGGCAATAGAAGAAATGGCAATTGTAGTTTTGAAAACTGCTGTGCAAGATTTCTGCTAATGTGCAGTCAAACAATCCTCTTAGCTCTTTTGGCTACAAGTGCTGACATCTTCCTACTGCTCCTTTACCCTGTACTTTACCTTCCAATATGATTTTGTGCCTAGTTGAGTGTTTGACTTCTCAACATATACCTGAAGTATTCTATAGAATTTTTCATATAAAAATGATTGCACATCATTCAAGATTTACAATGTCAGAACCCCACAGTGTTGCCAAAACATCAGAATAGTTATTAAGTGAGGAATTTTTAACTGTTTGTTAAATTGCTATATTAACAGTAAATACACTTAGTAAGGTCCATTCGCTCAACTCTGTCATATTTTAGAACATATGTCTCTGTCATATTATGTATACAACACAAAAGTTCCTAACTCACAGTATTAACAGCTTAAATAAACTTTTATTATAGACTTCTTCATTATATAAAGAAGAATTAGTATAAATAGCGGAAGTGTATAGTAAAGCCATAAAATTTTGGGTAGTATATATTTAAAAAAAAAAAATTTCAGTTGTTATAATTTAACGTAACTATTTATTATATGGTGTAGATCAGTGAGTCCCAACCCTGGGCGATCGCCCCCGGGGGGCGATTTGAGATATTCAGGGGGGCGACAGAGATAAGGGGGCGTTTAGCTTCTGGAAAACGAGAAATGTGTAATTGAGAAAAATAAGAAAAGAGAAAAAAATAAAATACTTTCATGCGGATATCCATAGGATAATAAAAAGTAAATATATGTATATCAATGCAGGTAATAATAACACAAACATCTCGTCTAGTCACAGAACTATGAATCATAATACAATTTAATTCTATACATTATCGTTATAATTATACATTATAACGAATTCTGCATTTTCCTTTGATCAAGCTTTCTTATTGTGCGATCATCTGCACAAAAGAGAAAGAGGGAGAAGTGGGATAAGAATGATGAGAAGTAGGTACCGCTCCTGCCGATCTGACACAAACCAAAAGTGAACGGTCGAGGTTGTCGTCGCTTCAAATGCGGAGTCTTTCGTTCCCGAGTTTTGTATTGTGGTATATAAAGTTGTTTTGTTTCAACTGACAGTCATTGTTGTCAGTAAGTTGTTATTTTAATAAAGATACTGTGATTTATTTGTGAAACTGTTAAGTCTGTCTTTCAATTCGGACATAACATTGCTGTTGTCATATGTCCGATAACGACAATGGAGAAATGGCCGATGAAATGCTGTTTGCTAGAAGTCTGATTACTGACACAAAAGGATCTTTCATATTTGAAGTCCTTAAGAGATTTTTTGAGGAAAATGAGATTCCCTTATCAAATATGATCGCCTGTGCTACTGACGGTGCAGCAGCAATGACAGGACACCATCGTGGATTTATTGCACATCTGAAACAAGCAGTACCTGGAATTTTGTGTGTTCACTGCGTCATTCACAGAGAGCATTTCGCTGCAAAGAATTTGAGTGAGAGTTTGCACGATTCTCTTCGACTTGTCATAGAAGCGGTAAATAAAATTAAAGCAAAACCAAAGAATGATCGAATATTTCGTACACTCTGTGAAGAAAATGATGAGATATTTAATACATTGCTACTACATACGGAAGTCCGCTGGCTTTCTAAAGGCAATTGGTTACGGCGGTTTTTCAGTCTTATGGAAACTGTTATTGAATTTCTTAATACTACTGACCCCACACTGAATACAGAACTACAAGAGAGTGAAATAAGATCACTTACTTATCAGATATTTTTTAAAAATGAAATGAAATAAACCTGCAACTACAGGGGAAGAACATAAATAAGGCCAACGTGAAGGGAATAGTCAGAGCATTCATTAACAAACTATCTATTTTTGAAGAAAATATGCAGAGAACATATCTGACCAAATTCCCCAACTTGAAATATTTTTGTGGTGATTCTGAGGATCTTTAAACATACTGCCTCAATCTTCAAACACTGAAAGAAGATCGGCAGTCCCGATTCCAAGATTTGACTAGTTTGAAAGTGCCAACTTGGTTTATCAATCCATACAGCGTGGAAGTTTCAACGGTAAGTCCTTCTCTTCAAGAAAACTTGATTGATTTGAAACATAATGTTGAAATTGAAAGTTTGTTTCAGGAGCGTGGGTATGAAAGATTTTGGCCGCGGATAAAAGAAGTGTATTCAATCTTGTGGAATGCAATCAAATTAATATTACTAGCATTCCCCACAACATATCTAGTGGAGAAAGGTTTTAGTGCTGTGTGTACATTGAAAAACAGACAAAGAAATAGGCTCTACATAATAGAAAGAGGGGATTTGAGGTTTTTATTAACCAACATTGAATCAGGCATAAAGAAGTTTCAGTTTAATTGAGAGGGGGGGGTGATTGTAGTATTCATAACTGGTGCAACCTGTCTAAGGGGGCGATCATGGGAAAAAGGTTGGGAACCACTGGTGTAGATAAATAAATATTGATTGATTATGGATTGTCGGTAATTCGTAAAGTTCTATTTTATTTACTATTTAGTTTATTTACTAATAATATTGGCTATGAGTATGTGTGCTTGGTTGTATAGTAATTTCCAGCCACTTTTAGTCTGTCAAAAAGTAACTAACTTCCCAAAAAATAATTACTAAATTCACTAGACAGTTCGGACTTGGAATAGTGAACCGACTAAGACTACTGCAACACACTAAAATACATAAGAAAACATTTTAATACAAATTATACCTATAATTCTAAATATTAAACTTATCTCTTTTGGAGCATTAAGAGTAAAAACGTCCCGCCATTATTTCTTGTTCAAAATAATCTATCTTATATGAAAGCTTATCAGCTTTCTACATACTATTTAGTTGTTTTGGCATAGCACAATCACAATACACAACAATTAGTTTTTAAAGCTATTAATCTAAATTTAATGTTTTTATAAATACAATGTATTAATATGTATGTAATATATTATGATCAATTTGTGTACGATATCAAAACATATACAAAATTATTACTCTAAAAAAGCGGCAACACTTTAAACAATTTTGCCACACGCTGAACTGTCATTGAAATATAAAGTATTCCCTTATCAGTTGCATACAATTGTCTAATCTATTTAATTTAAATTGTTATTTTGTGGAATATTAGATTTAAGGGTTATTTCATAAAATTTATATTAATACTATCAAATGTTTTTGGATATTTGGTCAATATAATTCTATAATTCCCAATATAATGATGATTACATTTTTCTGATTAGTATATCATGTTGACGCCTATGAAAGATTGAGCAGTTCTGTATGGGTTTCATATTATTAGCTGTGTTAGGCAAATTTGAACTCCAAGGTTGACATTCTGAAAATTTAAATATAAGTGACGTCACTTTATATAAATTGTGACGTGCAACGTTTTTACTTTGAAACATGATATATTTTACTATCTTTGATTATTCTTAGTACTTCTTTTTGTTTACACAACTTTATTAACTGTTTTATTGGAAATTAACAATGGATTAAAAACTGTAAATACTTTTTTTTGATTTTTTTTTCTGTTAGAATGAGAAAATAAGATTTATATCATTTATAATAGTAGTGTCATTATAGTAAATCTGCTTTATTATTTTTTCTTTATACAGGATCAAATCATACCAAATATCCAAATGTTTTCTATATAAACTATGTTGCCTTCATAAGCAAAAACGCAGTATGTACAAAAACTACACATATAGAGCTATGCAATTTTTTCTAAGCAAACCACCTAAGGGGAAGTCTCAAATTGTTAGCACACGTCCATGGTTAGCACTAACGCAGTATCTGCTTTTGTTATTGATCAATATGGAATATTTTGCAAAATATTTGTTTGAAAACTTATTAAAACAAAAAAATCTTCACAGATGAGTAACTTTTAAAATCAGGACAGCTTTGCAAAGACATGATGTTTCTCTGTTTAATATCTTGTTTAGAAACTGAGTTTTTGCTTGCGGTGGCAGTATGCTCCGAATGAACGTAATTATTTGATAATTATTTTTTGGACCAAATGAAAATCTATTAAGAGGCACAATTGCTCAGAACCTTTTTTATAAAGTATTGTTAGATTATTGTGAAAATAGTACATCTTTCATACACAAATTCCACATTTTTCTGTTTTATGTATGTAAAATATTTTCTTTTGTTTTTAGTAATATATAATTACATTTTTTAGACATTTAGAACTCGTTTTCGGCAACTAATGGACTTAGCGGATAATTCCATCTCTGACCCATCTGTCCAATTAAAGCTAGATACACTAGAGAGGCGAATATTCAATGATGCTTATAAGGCAAGAATTAAAATGAACACTTGGCTAGTAGATTCAAATGTAGCATTAGAAGCAGCTAATATGGTAGTCAATCATAAAAAGAGGAAGAGGATTAATGTAGAAGAATTGTTGTAGATTTTTAGCAAAATTCATTTTAATAAATATTTTTTTAACTTTTGTGATATTTTATTGGTGAAGGAATATTTTAGTAATTTTAAAGTGTTTTAGGAAGCAATAGTAAGATCAAAAACATTTTATTAATGTTTTTATGCCTTTAAGTTAGTCATTTTTTAACAATTGATTAATCTAAGAAAAGAAAGGATGGCAGTCTGGAATTTAAGATATGAAATATTGTAAGACAATTTAGGTCTGATTAACACATTCGCTGAGATTACAAAAATACAGTTATTATGTTGTATGTTTTACCAGTTGCAATTGACTGGTACTATAGAATTATGTATTTAGATACACTAGTCGCAATCAACTGGTAGTTCTTAAGAAATGTGAGTGCGATCTATCTGTAGATTTTCAAAAATTCATGTGAAGTAATAGTTGTATACATACAAGGAATATACAAACTTGCTGGAAACTGTATCAGTAGCAATACATCAAGATTGCTAATCTTTTTGGTAAAGCAAAATCAAAATACATATTTTTCATAAAATATAAAAACAACAAATGCTAATTATTAGTAAGTATAAGTTTTAAAATTTATGTATTGTGTTTAAAATTAAAACATGCTTAACATAAAGCAGGTTTTCCCTCGCATATGCTACAGTGTGTAGTAACTTTAAAAACATTTTTATCAATTTCTTTACTTTTCATTTTTTACCTCAGCTTCTTGTAACATTCCATACAATTTCGTCTTTTTTGATAGCAGGTCCTATGGGTTTGGTCAGTATATATTTTCACGAAACTGATTTTATATTCGTCATTATCTGAACTAGTTGTATATTCAAAAGCAGCGGAATTAGAATCACAGTCCGAATTGTCGATAATAGTTCTTCCTCTGATTCGCTCAAAGTATTTATAATTGTTTCTTGGTGCCGATCCAATTTCTGATTGGGTTCTACAACTACCACTTGTAGTTGCATTTTGCAACACCAAATTTACTAATTTAACAGTGCTACTCATGTTACTCAATTCTTATACAAATATTTTAAACAATATTATTATGGCACGACCGAGATAACTAAACTAAACTGGTAATTACAAATGAAATTCCTCACCAGATGATTTCATCTGGGAATCCAACAATGAAAAAAAAAATAACTTGTATGTGTTACCAGTCAAATATAACTGGTGCTAAATTATCCCTCTATTAGATAGATCTCTTTCAGACAATAATAACAACAATATCTTTATTTTTAGAAAATAATATACATTCCGTGAACATAAAATTATTTAAAAAAAAACAGTGTCACAAACGAAAATATTATTTACTTATTCCTAACCGTTACATATATAAATAGTCCTCCACAGAATATGGCTCAAGAGCTACCAGTAATTTAAATATTTGATGTTTATACAATCTTTCCTCCCTTTTAATAGGTTCAGGCAGTTTATTAAACAATTTGATGCAGCAATAAAGAGCGTTTTTTTATATGTATGTATATTATACTTAACTTGTGTATTGGAACTGGTATGTTATACTTAACTGTATGTATGTTATACTTAACTTGTGTATTGGAATTTTATAATTATATAACCTGGTATTTACTATACTATTGGGCTCAAAGTTCCTAAAGAGTATTTTATTTTTATATAGAAACAGTAAGCATTCTTGAATAAATACAGCGTAAACTGTTAAAATATGATTACTCCTAAAATGCCCTCTACATGATTCCCTACTTTTTAAGTCAAACATATCTCTGATTATTTTTTTCTGAACCAGAAATACATTATTTATGTCCCTACTGTGGCCAAAATTTATTAGACCATATCTAAATTTTGCTTCAAAATTAGCATGATATACTATATGATAACTCTAAAGCTGTAAATCACTTTACTCAAAGACATACATAACTGGTCAACATGTTTATCCCAACATAAAAAACTGTCAATATATAATCCTAAAAATTTGGTACTGCTGCTAATATTTAAATTGTCATTATTTACAATAATACTGTTTGGCATATCTGAATGTGCATCAAAAGAAGATCTGTTTTATTTTGATTTAAAACCAACCTATTCATAGAAAACCAGTCTTTAGCTTTCTGGAACTCTAAACTAGCATTAACGCTTAGAACAGACATGTCTTTACCACTGACTAAAATGTTTGTATCATCTGCATAATTTGTTATGCTGGAAGTAGTATTAGCCACTAGACCATGAAGATCATTGATATAGATCACAAACAGTAAAGGACCAAACACACTTCCTGGAGGTACTCCAATATTGTTAGTGCTTTCAGATGAGATGCCTATTTCAGTGTTTTTATGTATTTTTACTAAATGTCTCCTATTTGCCAAGTATTACTTAAACCAGTTCAATGCTGGTCCACATATACCATATTTCTCCAATTTATCAAATAATATGTCATGCACTAAACAGTCATATGCCTTTGATAGGTCCAAAAAGAGACTCAAAGCCATATGACCAATCTCAGTACATTTCAAAATATCCCAGACAAATTGAAAAATCGCAGTCTGAGTTGATTTTCCCTGTTGATAACCATGCTGATTTGCACTAATAGTATGACATTTTGTTAAAAATTCTGTTATCTTCCTATACATAGTCTTTTCTAAGATTTTTGAAAAGGATCATAGAAGGCTAATTGGTCTGTAATTAATTAATTTAGGATCCCCTTTTTGTAAACAGGTGTTACTATGGCAGTTTTCAGGCATTCAGGAAATACACCAGATTTTAGTGAATTATTTATGTTTGTAGTGAGAGGATTCAATATCTCCTTTATATAAAGTTTAATGGTTTTAGTGGGTAATTCATCAATTCCACAACTCATTTTTTTTTTTTTAATCTTTAGTTATATCCATAATTTCAGTTTCTGTCACAGGTGCAACAAATACTGAATTTATGTTACTTGCAATGTTGTCTTTATATTCAGTATATTGTAATTGAGATAAAGTGTTATTTAAAGAAGTATTTAAGTGGATCATGTATTTATCAGCAATCTCTTGAGGACTACCCTCTACTTTTATTGAATTTACACTTCTTAATTGACCATTAATTTCACTAACAATTTGCCACATGCATTTATTTTTGTTGGCAGCTTCAGACATCCTGTTTTCATATAGCTTTGATTGTTCTGTTATTAGTTTCTTATTATATTCTTTTTTTACCTGTCTATAGGAATCATAGAATTTATGGTTAACTCTGCTCATTGTAAACAAGATGTCTAAACGAGTCTTAATATAGGTACCTATAATGTTAGTTTTAACAAACGCGATTCGTTTGTATGTTACTCGCAGAATGGAAATACACATATTTATTTTTAGCCGTAATTTCTGCAAACATAGTTACCAGTCTTTTTCAACTGGTGACGAAGCGAAGGTGTTAAGAATTGGTACACTAAAAATGAATGAATTTCCAGAAATTAATTTGTTTTAAGTATGGAGCAACCCATTACTTAAATGCAAGGTGTTCCAAATATTTAGTATATTATCCACTAGAAATGTTTATTAAATTTAGATTTGATTTCATTTTTAAACAAAAACAGCTTTAAAGTTTTTCTCCGCGTTTCTGATAAAAACCAATAATTCTTAAGATATGCTCTATATCACAGGTCTAAGAAAGTAATGCGAATATGGAAAATATTTTGGCCAAATATTTGTGAAATCACTCTAGGTCCAAACATTAAAAAAAAAACAAAATGATACTTATTTCTGGAAAGAAGAAATAATATGTAAAGACAATGAATTATTTTTACTCACTTAACAACAATCTACAGGTTATGATATTTTTGAAAGTCCTGGGAAATAAAAACACTGCAAATGACTAATTTTTAATAATTTAATACTTTTATAAAATACAATTAACAGTTATTCTAAACACAACAATTACCTAATCACAATAGAATAGGTCTTTTAGGCATTAAAATCGACAGTTCACACAAATCTTTAGGGCTTGCCCTATTCTATGATAGTTTTAGGGCATGAATATCTACTTTTTATGAAGTTAGCCAGTTTCATTTGAACTGCAAATACCATTCAATTATTTTAAAAGTGTGTGATAATACCAGGCAGGTTCTGTTAGAGGTTTCAGTAAAAAGCACCATGAGCAAAATCCAATGAGAAATAAGGCAACTATAACAAACTTCTTTATTCCTTTGTATGTAATAACTTCTGTAAAATCTGGGAAACCCATATGGTTGCAGAAGGCATGCACGATAAATACAGAAACAAAATGCCCTGTTCTGTAGAAGATATATGCTGAGTACATTCCAAATATTGTGGTATATACAAACTGAAAACAGGAAATCTTTAGGGCCAAATCGAACGCCATGCCCATATGATGTATTCTTTCCCACATATGATGAAAATGTGCCACCCCAAAAAATAGTGGACTACTTAGTACTGATGTAAGGGGAGTGAAACAGTTCAGTAGCATAGGTACTATACAACTTCTAAATGTAAATTCTTCGGTAAACGGAGCTACTATATGATTTCTCAACCATATTAGGTTTTTAAGATTTGAAAACCAATACATCTCTTCTATGTAAACTTTCGATAAACCACTGTACAGTTCCATTGATATGGGTCCCAAAAATAGGATCATTGTTAGAAATAGTGGCATAAAAATAGCCTGACATAGTCCCTGAGTTCTCAGTCCTAGAATTTCAGTAAATGTATGCGTTTGCAACATTTCTTTATCTAGACCAATGTAAAGAAAACAAGGCGATATAAACAACATAATAAACGCACTTATAAACCTTTTCTTTATCGTTGATGGGTGGTCTCTGCCGTGAGGATTTTTCCATATATGAAGACTAAATAAATAGGTAACAGATAGTAAGAAGCAAAGGATAATTGACTTGTAACATTGTATACTTTCGTCGATGTTCCATTCCATTTTTGATAAGCTTGAATTCGTCACTTAAAGCTAAGCTCATTTTTTATGTACACTTAGCAAACTATGAAATAATCATAATTATAACAGAAATTCTAAATAAAATTATAAAATCTTTAACAATATAACTACTTCAAGGTTAAAAATAACCTAATTTCATACAGTTTCGAAAGTGGCTGAATGCCAATTAGTCAATTGATCTATTCATGACACCTATGATAATACTGAAAAGGAAAAATTGGTTTAAAGACTTTATTATTTGTTTCCAGAATATTTATCAATTTTCTAATGCGTCATATTCATAATCCTATTAGTCTATGAGTTTTAGAATTTATACAATGGTAATAAATGAAATGTGGATTAACTAAAAAAAGTAGAAAAGGGTGTCAAACTAACAATTTTTGTGTCAATGTCAAAATAGTGATGTCACAAGTGTCAGTGTAAGGAATGATCAATTAAAATTGAAAATAAATTATTTCTTAATGGATTTTTTACGTAAAAATAGGCAAATGAATTCGATTCAATGGCTATTTTTGAGCGACAAACCACCAATAAAGTTTTACTAGATGATACGGAACAAATAAAATGTACAATTGAAAATTGGAAAAACGTCAATGGTCATACAGTAATACAACTAATAAAATAAACATTAATTGGATAATAATCAAAGGTGTATTTTAGGAATTCAGCATAAAAGTGTACAGAGGACCTTTTTCGGATCAAACGTGGAGGATTAATAAGCGCTATAATGATTTCTATAAACTCCATAATGTGTTGCAATCCTCTGGGATACCTCTGGAGTTGCCTCCAAAGAAACTTATCGGGAACATGGATCCACATTTCATCGGTGAAAGACAACAGGGTTTGCAGGTATTTATGCCACGTCTTTTTTTATATGCACTTTGAACTTCATGAGATAGTCTTTCAGAGAAACAACTTTGATTATAAATCATGACATTTGTAATGATTATTTTTATCTGGCAGTTTTTTGATTAGAAGTTGTGTATTTTATTTAGTATAATTTAGTATAAAAACTGATTTAGATAAGAAGTTATTAATTTTTGTTTTTATTTATTAAATGACTACAGGATATTTTAGAAATATATACTTTGTCAAAACTACATTTAAGTAGTATTGTTATAGGGTATAGTAAGAGTGAATCATAGGGTATTATGTGAATCCCATGCACTATTCAATATTAATGTTAAAACAATCTTGAATTTGAATGCTTTATGCTTTATTGAACTTTGTTTAAGGGTATTGATACATTGATAGTAATTAGGAATGTTATTTGTCACTTTAAGAACAATTAATTACCAATATGAATAGTTATTTATTAAAAACTCCTTCTGGATCTGGATCCAGTTTTTCCTTATTTGCTGATTTTTTTGTTTTAATATTTCACTTTTTCTACTACTTTTCACTTTTCAGTTAGTTTAAGAGTTCAGTTATCACACTGATTATTTTGGAAGTTATTTTCTCTACTTTAAATTATTAGTATCATAATATTCATTTCTATATTTTGCACTGATAACATTTCATGTTGATTTGTGACTCATTCTTTAGATATATATATATATATAGGCACTTCATTTGTTGTTCATCAGTACAGTCACAAGCATTTGATTTTTAAACGTTTTTTTTTTTTGTTTTATAATTTATTTTAATTTAGAATCCCCTTCGCGAAAGACATAGTTTTGAGTAAGGTACATGAGAAAAAAGTTGTTCATTGACAATGTTTCAATTTATCTTCTCTAAGCGTCTATTATACCAAGAAGGCATAACAGGCTTGCTTTATCACTGAAATCATCTATCAGTTGAATTAAGCAGTTTCTTGTAATTCTATGAATTCCATGATCTTCTAGGGGTATAAAGGCCTGTTTTCACGCTACCTCTTATTGTACGTTTTGTTGGTCATATAAAACGTACGACAAAACGTATGTTTTGTCCAGTGTATACACACTATGTGTTTCCTTCCGACAAGACGTACGTTTTGCTGTATACATGCAATGTTTTATTGTATAGGATTTGTCCTATTCAACAAAACGTACAATAAGATGTAGCATGAAAACGGGCCTTAACAAGCCATCCTATAGGATAGAGATGTTGAAATGGCTGATCTTTATCAATTAGTCAATCTAGATCAATTGTTTGATCATGCGAGATTTTGGGATACATTCCAAAGAGTAACAAAGAATTATTCTAGCTTTATTCCCCCATTGAACTATTCAACATTCCCTAGGCAATGCAATTGCTTAAGACTTTGGTTAAAGGGACTAATACATTCTTTAATAATTTTAAAAATAAAACAAAAAAAATGGATGTTTTTATTGCTTTAACCACCTGTTAAAGCAAAAGCTAGCAAGGAAGGTACATATAAAATGTTCCTAAATTTTACAAAACAATTTATGCTTGCAAAATTACTTTGCAATGGATGGAACACTATCAATGACAGGTATTTGTTGTATTCCTTTGCATTATTTTATGTTCATATATACTAGAAATGAGTACCATGTGAATATTGTCTCAAATATCATGAATTCAAGCTGTAACAACCAACTTGTTAACCATACTAATTTACTTCTTTTTAAAAATGTAAGAATATGTAAAAAGATGAGAATATAGTGGTAGTCTATATATTTTTAATTAAAGCATCATATAAAATAATAATTCTACTATGTTGTCTGCTAGTAATTGTGCTGTTATGTAATCAATTCACATGGTATAAAGCACTAATCAGAACATCAGATAGTACCTGTATGATCAATTCTAAAACCACTTCTCTGTATAGGTGATATGTAATCAGGCTCTCAGTAAATACATGAAACTTGTGAATATTTTACCAAGTCAAAACATAAAATGTAGATCTTGTTTAGTCATTATTTCACAATAGTATTTATAGAAGATATTGGAAAATATCTGTGTAATAATTAGTTATCAAGAATATAAATGAAGCAGGTTTGATGAGATTACTTTAATAACAAAACAGCTTTCTACTAAATTTAAAAAATAGCATGTACTGTATTGAATATGTTAAAGCTCTGGCCATTGTTCTTTGTAAATATTTGAAAATACAAGTAACAAGCATTTTATCGATCTGTTATTTATTATATATCATTTTTTTCAGAAATATTTAGACAGCATCTTCATGAATCCAATATTAGTTTCGTCTCTTCCAGCAAGATCATTTGTTGATCCTGCTAACTATTGCCAACCATTTGGAGGTAAGTTTTTGTTAACATCTGACAACTTTGCTTCTAGTATTATATTAAATAATGTTAACATTAAAGTAAATTCAACTTCGAGCTATGGACAGAATAAACACAAGTCACTGCGTGATATTTGAGTCTGCATGTGACGAACATCTTCCTATTGACCATAAATTATTGAACTACTTACTTGGGCTAACAGGCACTCACTTCGCTTTTCCGCTGTCGTCTGTCAACTGAAAAGTGACAGTAGTTATCGCGCAAAACTGTTTTTTGGTTTGTTGATTTGTTAATTGTTAGGTCATGTGTTGATAGTGTAAAGCATATAGCCAATACACAAGTTTTCCCTACTTTAAAATAATTCCTGTATATTAAAGCATTTATAATAGCCTATGTTACAATATAAGATCGATCTGCAGTGATCTGTTTAATGAATAAAAATTATTTGATATAGGGGAAATGTTCCTATGATGGACCCCTTAAGGAAAAAGCTCCATCATAATTTTAATTATTTACTTAGCAGGCTTCAAATTTTGATAAAAATTAAGATGACAAAAATTATTCGTAGTTTACTAAAATCCTGTTAAGGCTCCATCATGTGCATATATGTGTCCGTGATGGACCCGTTGCATTTTGTATAAAATAAGTAAATACCAAATTATTTCCATTTGTGAAAATGGTGTTTGGAGGAGGAGATACAACTACGAGGTATACCACAGATATAAACAAGTATTTGGTGGTAAAGGCGTAGTATCTCTTATAAGAATAGGAAGACTAAGATGGGCAGGACATCTAGCAAGATCACAGCAGAACAACCCTCCTAGAAGAGTCCTTATGTCACAACCCGTGGGAAGTAGAAAAAGGGGTAGGCCAAAACTCAGATGGAAGGATGGTGTAGATGAGGATGGTAGAAAGATAGGCGCAGCAAACTGACAACAGTTGGCAATGGATAGGACTGCCTGGCGTAATAGACTTCGGAAGGTCGATGCTATTTCATAGGGCTGTAGCACCATTGATGATGATGACCAAATTATTTCATTAAACCAAAAGATATTCTAAACAATAAATAATATTACAAATAGGTATTTTTAAGAAAAAAGTTACATGCACAATTCACACACAAATTGTTTACATCCAGGATTTACATCTGCACATTTATTGTGACACCAATTCTGACATCGTCCAAGTCGTCTTCTCCAAAAGGAGATTCACAATTGTCTTCAGAACTGTTTTGTTTGGAGTTGAAACACGAACTTGCCTTTTCACTTTTCTTGCTTCTTTTTTTTTGCTTCATTTTCTGCAATTTTATGTTTTGTCTCATCAATTTCAGGTGTTGAATTTAAATATCCTGTTTTACCCCGTTTTCTACCCCTTTTCTGTTACTTCAGATACTCCAGCTAAAGGAGGAGGAGAAATATTTTCGACCAAGATGTTTAGGACTGACAATGATGTTGATTTCTTATCAATGACTTTTGATAAATCTTCAATTGAAGAAACATTTTGGTTCCGATGTTCCGGTAGTGAGTTCTCGTTAGAACATCCTGGTAGTAGGTTTTGTTCATAATTTTCTCTAGCTGTTGTTATATATAGCAAAAATTGCCAATCCTCAAAGACATATGGATTGAACGGTTCTATTCCTGTCTTTTTAATTGCATTTATTGTATTTGATGGAAGAGTACTTTTTAAATATGCTCTATTAAAGATACTGGCTACTTTAAATTGGGTAACTGTTTTACCTGGATTCTGTCGCAGCCACAATAGAGCTCTTGGGCGTAGTAAGTTTGAAGTGGTCTAAAAAATCCTACGTCCAAGGGTTGAACGTTATACATAATAATACGGTTTTCTTTTATAAACTGGAGAGTTTCAAAACTTTTATGACTACCATGGCCATCGAGTAACAACAAAACTGGGTTGGTTTTAGAAGCCTTTGAATACCTTAAAAAATGTTGCAGCCAAAGACAGAATATGTCGGAAGTCATCTATCCTTTTTCTTGAGCGAAAGCTATACTTAAAGTAAGTGCATCGATCATAAGTTCGTCTTTCTTTCTCTGCCGAGGAAAAATTAAAACAGGAGGAACATATGTTCCAATTGCACTACTTAAAGCACCAACTTGTTTGCGACCTTATTAGCATAAATCTTCTGCAATATATTTTGCACAATTGTCAAACTGGATTCGTTCATGTTATAAATTGTTTTCCGGTGGAAATTGAAACTCGTCTAATATATGTGCTAATGCTGAAAAAAAGGCAAATTTATTCAGTTTATTTATAAGCTTGAGCCCTTGCCAACGAAGTATTTTCGAAAAAAGGCATATAAATGGCTATATAAAAAATATCACAGCACCTGTGATCATCTATATACTTTGAAAATCCTAATAGAAAAGACTAACGAATACAATCTCCCATTATGTCTGGCTTTTATAGATTATAAAAAAGCTTTTGATAGCGTAGAACTGTGGGTAATAGAAGAAGCATTAATCAACAACCGGATCGACTCCAGCTACAGAATTTTAATACATAATATTTACGAACAAGCTGAAATGATAGTAACGTTGGGTAATGGAATCGAAACAAGAACAGTAAAAATCAACTGAGGAGTAAGACAAGGAGACACAACATCTCCAAAATTATTTACAGCTGCCCTAGAATAGAAGATATCTTTAAGTCAATAGACTGGGAAAATAAGTGAGTCGCTATTAACGGAAGATACTTGAACCATCTTAGATACGCAGATGATGTAGTACTAATAACCAACAGGTGGAATGCACTGAATACGATGATTGGCAAACTAGACACAGAATCCCTAAAAAAAGGACTGAAAATGATTTTCAGCAAAACTAAACTAATGTCAAACAAAGATCGAATAACCTATGATAAACATAGAAGGGACAAAGATAGAACAGGTAGATGAATATACATATCTTGGTCAAAATGTCAAGGTAAGTAAAGAAAATCAGACTACCGAAATAAACAGACGTGTAAAAATGGGATGGGCAGCATTCGGAAGACTCTCATACAGACTTAAAAATAAAAATATATCTCAAAGACTGCGAACCAAAGTGTTTAATTCCTGTATCCTACCATTACTTACATATGGAGCTCAAACCTGTACACTCAGTAAAATAAACATGGAGAAGATCAGAAAAACTCGAGAGAGAGCTGAGAAAGCTTTGGAACGACAGGTGCTGGGTATCTCACTCAGAGACCATAAAACAAAGGATTAAAGAAATCGGTAATTGGCGGCCATATGAAACCAAACGACCACGAGGAATACCGCAAATGCGCTGGAGCACCTATATTAAAAGAACTGTAGGTCCAATGTGGAAACGTCTTACAAACAACAGAGATGAATGGCGAGAATTAAGAGAGGCATATATTCGGCAATCCGAATAGAGAGAAGAGCTACAGATTAACCAGCTAAAACGTCAACTGGCCAGGTGTGTAGTTCCAAGGTGATCAGTTAGTAGATACAATCTAAATATCCATTTTCTCATACCGTGCTGTTAAAATTGTCATGTAACCAAGGCATTTAATTAATTCAATAAAAAAATTCTTGTTAATTATATATATATATATATATATATATATATATATATATATATATATATATATATATATATATATATATATATATATATATATATATATATATAATCGGTGTAAAACGTCCTCCGACGTCTTCCGATGCCCAATCTCCATGCATCTCTATCTTCCCAAAGATCTTCGTCTAAACCTCTCTCTCGGATCTCTCTGTCTATTCCTTCTCTCCAGCTCTTTCTGGGTCGGCCTCTTTTTCTCTTTCCATATGGTGTCCAATCTATAATCTGTTTGGGCAGACGATGTTCTGGCATTTTCTGCACATGTCCATACCACTTTAGTTGTTGTACTCTTATATCTTCGACAATCGTATGTGTGACTCCCATAACCTCTCGTATACGTTCGTTATTAATTCTTTCGAGTTTTGATTTTCCTGCGGCCCGTCTCCAGTAGTCCATCTCCGTGGCTTGTAGTGTTCTTTCAGTAGTTGCCTTTAACTGCCACACGTCACTTCCATACATTACTATGCTCTTTATAATAGTGTTGTATATTCGATGTTTATTTTTTTTTTGGATATATGTTGATCCCAGATAATACTATTTAGTTGAGATATGGCCCTTCTACCCTGAGTGTTTCGTTTTTTTTATAGCCTGATCTGATTTGCCGTCGTCTGTGATTTCTACTCCTAAATAGGAATATGTATTGTTGTGCTTAATGTGTTGTGCGTCGTTTAAAACTAGATTTTGTTCTTTACCACCGATGTTCATGTACATTGTTTTATATATGTTGACTTCTAATCCCCATTTTTTGTATTCTTCGATTAATTTTCGAGTCATGTATTCTAGGTCGTCATATTCGTTAGCAATCACAATTTGATCATCAGCGAAACATAGAGTGTACAGGTTGTTATTGTTTAATTGTATACCCATGCCGCTGCATTTCCGCTTCCAGAGTTTTAATGCTTGTTCCAGATATATTTTGAAAAGTGTCGGCGCTAAGCAGCATCCCTGCTTCAGTCCTTTGTCTACTACAAAACCTTTGGAAACATTCGTTCCTATTTTAACTTTGGCGTTGGCGTTCTCATATAGTTGTTCCACTGCTGTTATGAGATTTGAGTTGATGTTCGTTTGTCTGAGAGTGTTCCATAACTTATTTTGAGGGATGCTATCGTAGGCCTTTTTTAGATCAACAAACAAAAAGTGGACTTCTTGATCTACAGCAACCTTTTTTTCTATAAGTTGGGTGATACAAAAAAGGTGGTCTATGGTCGATCTACCAGCTCTAAAACCCGCCTGTTCTTCTGCCTCTATATCAGTGTATTCTCTTTCTATTCTATTTTTGATCATTTTCCCATAGATTTTACTAATGGTACTAGTAACTGCTATTCCACGGTAATTGTCGCAATTTTGTTTGTTTCCCTTTTTACGTACAGTTGAAATGGTTGAGGTTTTAAATTCGGCTGGAACCTTTACTTTGTTTATGCAGTTTTGAAAGAGTATTGTCAAATGCTCATATAGTTTTTCAGTTCCATATTTTATCAGTTCTGAGGGTATATTGATAGGTCCGGGCGCTTTTTTGTTTTTGAGTGAAATACAGATAACCCTTACTTCCGTTTTCGTGATTCTTATAGGAGATGCTTCAACGCGTATGTTTTGGTTACTTTCTTTTATTTTGAATTCCATTCGGTCTTTTTGTAACAGTTTACTGAAGTACATGTCCCATGTTTCTAACGAAATTGGTGAGATTAAATCTTTTTTCTTGTCGTTGGTCCTAAGAGATTTAATAAGTTTCCAGCTTTCTGTACTTCTGGTTCCTCCTATGTACGTATTTAATTTTTGACAGTTTTGATCCCAGGATTCATTTTTTTTTCTGTCTTATTATTTGTCTCACCTTAGCTTGATGGTTTTTGTAATCAGACCAATTTGTATCTGTTTTTGCACTTAAATATTGTTCATACTTTTGTTTCTTTTGTTTTATCGCTGTGTCTATTTCTTCATCCCACCAGTATGGAGTATTTTTGTTTTTCTTTTCGTAATATCCAAGCGCTTCTTTTGCTGCAGAGTGAATACTTTCTTTAATGTAATTGTAGTGGTCTTCGATGTTATTGAAATTTATGTTTTCAAGTTTCACGTTCAGTCTGTTTTGATACAATATTTTTACACTATTTTTACAATTCTTGTTAATTTATTTTTATGAATTAGATAGTAGAACTAGCCTTTTATTTAACATAAGAAATTTGACTGTGTAATTTATTCTAACCTTTCTTATAAACGTGTAGAGTTGGCATTGCAACATGTTTCGTTGGCACTAAGAGGTGAAGTCGGCTGGGAAGTGATTGCCCCAGTTAACGATATCGGTTGGCGTTTACGCAAACATTACTATGATCTGAAATGTAAATCTCAACCGAAGGAAGAAATATTCGGAGGCTGGACTGATTATGGCCCGGATAAATATTTGGACGACAGAGAAATGCATGCTGTGTTCAAGAGTTTGAGCCAATTACAGGTATGTAGATGTATCGTCCTGAAAAAAATTTCAATTATCAATAATTTTCAAACTGAATATGAACGATATTTAATTTTTTTCAGCATCCCTATATATACCCAATCGAACTATGCCTGTGTACCGAAACGGGCGCGTTAGTAGCTCGAATAGCACACAAAAATGGAACTCTACGGGATCTATTGTCGGGAGTAAAACCTCGCCAGTCTTTTTTGAAGAAATATGGAAACCCTAAAGGTCACAAAACCCTCTCCGTCGACCAGATATCTCTGTATGGTCGTCAAATCCTAGAAGCTTTGAAGTTTTTGCATGATAAGGGACTTCCATACGGTAAGTTGCTTTAAAAACAGAATATAAATATTTCTAAAATCGACCTATAAGCTTTATTAGTTTGTGTTTAAGCTTACTTTAACAGTTATCGACACTGACCTCATTTTTACCTGTTAGAGGTCGTTATTAGCGTTAGTTCGTGTATTATGTTACTATAATTGCCAGATAGACAATTTCTCTTGTGTTCAGTTCAAGTTCTCAAATGTACCTGACGAGCGGTAAACCTCGAAATACCTGTATTGGAATCAGAAAGCAATAATAAATACTGCACCGAGACTAAGGTTTGTTGAATATTACGTCTGGCTCCAACTACAACGAGGAAGTACTGAAAGGGTATTTCGATTCGAGCAGAGTATGGGCCGGTTGGGACGCCCCCTTCACTCCCACTTCGACGTCACAAGATGGCCGCTGACAGCTGTCAACTGTCATCCGTCAAACGTGAAGATAGCGTCAATTCTTCTTCTTTTCGTCTTTCAAGCTTACGTAACTTCATACCCCACGCCCCGACGTGTACATTAAGACCAAAAAAAAAAACAAACGCAAAAGACAATGCCAAACCGTGATTACGTCATATCTCCGTTGTTATTGGACGGATCGTGACGTGCGAGGTATCGTAGGAAAGGTGAGGGGTAACGAATAAGTAGGCATAGAAAAACATAACGGCGTATTGTCAAAAGAACACTAAGTTTGTAGCGTCTAAACGGCTCAACGTACAACAACGTGCAAGGTATCGTTGAAAGGGGAGGGGGTAACGAATACATTAACACAGAAAAAAAAACATGAAGGTGTATTGCCAAAATAAGACTAAGCTTGTAACGTCTAAACGACTCAACGTATAACAATGTGTAAGGTATCGATGAAAAGGGGAGGAGGTAACGAAAAGATATGACGTAATGCCGTTTTGGCATTATCTTTGCGATTCATTTTGGACGTTGCAAGCTTATTGCCGTTTTGGCAATGTCCTTGCGTTTTATTTTTATCTTAACATATTCGTTACCACCTCCTCTTTCCATCGATACCTCACACGTTGTTGTACGTTGAGCCCTTCGGACGTTGCAAGTTTAGTGTCCTTCTGGCATTGTCTTTTGCGTTTTATTTTTATCTTAACATATTCGTTGCCCCCTCCTCTTTTCATCGATACCTCACACGTTGTTATACGTTGAGCCGTTTAGACGTTAGCCCATGTGACGTCAGAGTGGGAGTGGAGGGGGTGTCCCAACCGTCGCATACTCTGCTAGTTCGAGACAAAAAGTTGTTAAGAATAATAAAAATACGCAAGACCACATATTTTGGATTTAGGTATGCGGAGTGTCGAGTGACGACCGGTCGTGCCCTGTGTAGCTGATTTGATACCCTCAGTATGCGGACTTGGTCTGAGTGGGATCGGCTGGCGCGGGGGGTCACTGAAGCAGCAATCGCCATATTGACGACAGTCCTTTAGCGTGTAGCGTGATCGCTTCACGAATAATTATCGATTTTAAGGAGCGGATAGGAGCGATTGTTTTTGCTTTTTCGAAATCTATTTTGAGACCTGTCTGAATATAATGCTGGGCTAACAAACTACAAAGCAGTATCATCTAGAATAATCACAGCCCAAATAGAACTAAAAGACAAGATAGGACTAATACAAATATACGGACCAACAGAAGGTAATGAGGAAGAGAAAATGATAGAATTCTACAACGAACTCCAAAACGCATTAGACAAATTAAGAATTTTTGCATTCAACTTATTTTATACATATATGAAAATAAAAATATGTATTTTCATTAAAATATTGATTCAATCCTTCATTTACTATACTCCTATTACAGGTCAAATGTTTATATACAGCAAACGATGCATCATATACCTATATACCTCATTCTTTTTCTCTTTCTGCTCTCGCTTACCTATAGCATTTACATATGTAATATTGTACAGATTGACTCCCATATAAATTTGTAACGGCGAACGCGTATATAGAATTATATAACTTCTAGCGTCAGTCGGAGTGGACTGTCACACCCGTTTCTTATTTTTATTGCATTATAATTTTAGATATTCCTTTACAGGTCATCTACATAGTGGAAACGTAATCATTGATAACGATAGGGTCAGACTTCTCGATATAGAAAACGGAATATTGGGCGTGCCTTCCTTTTATCGACCGTATTTTATGCAACACAAAAAAATTAACAATATGGAAGCCGTAGACGTTTACTGTTTCGGACACGTGCTTTACGAAATGATGTTTGGATCTCCGTTGCATGAAAGCGTGGCCGATAATATGCCATATTATCAGCACACCCAATTAAGTAAGTTTGACTTCCAAGGTTCAATAATGAAAACTGCTATTATACAGAGTGGCCCAAAAGTCTGGAAACGGTCAAATATCTCGTAAGTTGCTAGTCACAATTGTACAAAATTTCTGGTACACCTATTTTGGGATACGGAGATTCCATATTTGATATTTGCAATGTTGCCAGATTTGCCGTTTCCCTTTATTATTAGTAACTTTGGTTTTTAAAATTCATCACCCTGTATATTGTCATTACTGGAATCTACTATTCAATACGAGTTCAACCATATGTAACACTTATGATTTTATCTAGTCTGGAAGGTCTTAAATACATAAATCAGTTCAAAATATGTAGATTATAATAAATTTAAATATTTAAATGTAGAATGCTGTGATTTTGACATTTGTTCACTATTTAGATTATTAACTAAAACTGACAGTAGTTGTGTTTCGAAACGTTCTGGAAAATAAATTGCTTCTCTAAAATGGATCTTAACGAAAAAGAACGAATTACTATTCTAATGATGAGAGGGTACGGTGACAGAAAAAGATCTTATTGTAAAGTAGCCAACTTATTCAATGACACTGTCCCAAATCGTTCTCCTATTTATAAGACGACGATACAAAAAACCATAAAGCGATTTGAGGAATCTGGAGAAGTAAAAGATAGATACCGATCAGGTAGACCGAAAAGAGTTATGAATGACAACAAAACTTTGGATAGAATGCAAAGTTTTGTAGAACATTCACATACATCCTCACGCAGGTTTGCATAATTACATGATATAGGTCGTTCTTCAGTCTTACGTGTATTATGTGAGAATAACTTTAAACCATACAAAATTAATTTATTGCAAGAATTAAGTGAATATGTCTTCGATCGTAGATTAGAGTTTACTGAGGTAATGTAGGAAAAATTGAACATGATGAAAATTTCGTTAACAGAATATGTTTTTCTGATGAAGCAACCTTTACACTGTGTGGAAGTGTAAATCGACACAATTAAAGGTACTGGAGTGACGTAAATCCACACGGGATGTGTGAAAACCATACTCAAAGACCACAAAAATTAAATGTATGGTCAGGTAGAGTAGGTACTCAGTTAATTTGGCCATTTTTTATCGAAGGAAATTAAACGTCAGATAGTTACAAAATGTTACTTAGAAATGAAATTGTACCCAGACGAGGTAGAAATGAATGGCCTCAACGTTCACGTGATTTCAATCCTAAAGATTATTTTTATTGGGGATACTTGAAAAATTCAGATTACAAATCTAAACCAGCCAGTCTTGCAGATCTAAGGCAACGAATTATCGATGAATCTCGAATAATTTCTAGACAATCATGGAGAAATGTTGTGACGCATTCTAACATCGATTAGGGTACTGTCAACTCACAAATGGAGCACATTTTGAACACTGGATAAAGTAACCAGTATGTTAAAAAATGCTGTAATCAATTAATTATTGTTACGTTTTAATCTAGTTGAAAGTAGTTAGTATTAAAAAATTTATTTACACAATTAGGCGTTGCCAGACTTCTGTTTTATTTATTTAAGATCTTTCAGACTACATAAAATCATAAGTGTTACACATGGTTGAACTCGTATTGAATAGGAGATTCCAATAATGACTGAATATACAGGGTGATGAATTTGAAAATCCAAAGTTACTAATAATATAAGAGAAACGGCAAATCTGGCAACATTGCAAATATCAAATATGTAATCTCCGTGTCCCAAAATAGGTGTACCTCAAATTTTGTACAATTATGACTAGCAATTTACGAGATATTTGACCGTCTCCAGACTTTTGGGACACTCTGTGTATTTGAACATTAATAAATCCCTCAATTGTTTTTTTAGAAGACTTAGTAGCCCGAATCCTGTCGTCTGAAGGTTGCAAAAACGGCCTTCCGACCATAAACGATCTCCTCGTTGATGCGTTCTTTTCTACGACCCATCTAACTCTTCTGCCCACCGATAAAGCGCATTTTAAAGTCCCTACTTCGACGAAGGAACAAATCAAACTCGCCGTTAATAAAATTGAGGACAGATTGAGGGACGAGCAGAAGATGGTGAGAAGTCAGAAGAGATTGGTCAAAGTGCAGGAGATGATGAGCTGCGAGGAGGAGAAGAAGAAGCAAGCTAGACATAAATTGGTAAGTTTTTGGTTTTTGTAGACTACCTAAGTATTTTTGCTCAGAAAGCAAGTTCTAAATTTTGTTGATTTCAAACACACTTTTTCAAGAAATGTACTAACAACCAAAAAGAACAAAATCTAACCTAACTTAGCCTAAGCAATAAAATAAAATATTGTTTTCTTTAAAAAGAAAAAACCTATTGACGACGTGCAAGTACTTGGATGTGATACGAGAAACGTACGTGCGCGAGTAGCGGAGAAATCTTGCATTTTTTACTGCAAATTTCATAGATTTCATAAATTCATATTGTCAATTGTCATATTTCATATTCGTTTATTTATTTACACCTTTTGTCACTGAAGAAAATGGGATTTAGGAAATGCTGTGTTATAAATTGTAAAAATACAACAAAAAATTGTCAATTTAAGTTTTATTCGTTTCCAAGTTCGAAGCACAAATTACTACAAAGAGAAAAATGGATTTATATCACAAAAAAGCATAAGTAACATAACCTAAATTATGCATTATTTTTGCGCCCGATTTTAAAGTCAGTATGAAATAAATAATAAATAAAAGTTCACTTTTAAGTGTAAATTTTATTTTCATAACACTCACTTAGAGTTCACTTTAACCCAAAAATCAAGTTTAATGTTTAAATTTTATTTTGTTGAAGTTTACAAAAATGCATCAAGTTTAAGTTTTTCTGAAGATGCATTAAGATATATTCGCTGTCCAAAAGTTTACAGGGAAAGAATTAATTGTTCAACCAATGATGATATCATGGGCTTAACCTGCTAATTTATGCATTAGCATTATTTATGGTAATTTATTTTTCCGCAAATCGCCAGGAAATTTTGACATTCCTGTCAAAATTTCTTGAAGAAAAAGTCAGGACTTCCTTACCTTACTGTAAGGAAATGTCATTTCCTTACTGTAAGGAAATGATATTTCCGTACAGTTGTTAGTGTTCTACATAAATTGTCAAGTTTGACAATTCAACCTCAATACGTTTCCATAGTAACCCAAGTAATTTTATTAGGAATTTCAAAGCACCATTTATTTGGGAATAAAATTATCGCTTTTTTTTTAATCAATCAATATCTGTCGAATTTTAAACGATTTGCGGAAAAATAGTATGTTTACCTCGTAGGAAAAGCCACATTCCTGGACTCTGTGTTGCTAAGTCTCGGCTTGCGCCTCGACTTAGCAATCTTCACAGTCGTCCAGGAATGTTAAGCTTTTCCTACCCGGTAAACAATGTACTATTTCCGCAAATCGCCAGGAAATTTTGACATTCCTGTCAAAATTTCTTGAAGAAAAAGTCAGGACTTCCTTACTGTAAGGAAATGTCATTTCCTTACTGTAAGGAAATGATATTTCCGTACAGTTGTTAGTGTTCTACATAAATTGTCAAGTTTGACAATTCAACCTCAATACGTTTCCATAGTAACCCAAGTAATTTTATTAGGAATTTCAAAGCACCATTTATTTGGGAATAAAATTATCGCGTTTTTTTTTAAATCAATATCTGTCGAATTTTAATCGATTTGCGGAAAAATAGTATGTTTACCTCGTAGGAAAAGCCACATTCCTGGACTCTGTGTTGCTAAGTCTCGGCTTGCGCCTCGACTTAGCAATCTTCACAGTCGTCCAGGAATGTTAAGCTTTTCCTACCCGGTAAACAATGTACTATTTTTTAACTCTTCCACATAATTTTTCCATTCTTTTTTGACATTTGCCACTACTAAAGCTAATCCATTTGACTCAGTGCTTGGTTGAAAAGTTATTTGGTGATTTACTTTCTCAAATCCAGTTTTTATTATTGCATCCATATTAACAGTAATGCTGTAATTTAATAATATATTAATTTGTATTTAAACTACATACAACGTTTACCTTTTAATAACATAATAATATACCGACATAACCTCAATCTTACTTTTTCTTCTTATCTTTTTTGGGGCTACGTCCTTGACAGTTATCCGGTAACCTTATCTAACATGAAAGCGCAGTAAATTTTGCTGATTTACGACACCAGGTGTCGCTGTTCCGAACTTGCACGGTCCCAATCAGGTGATGTGTTTATTTATATTTGTTTACGTTTATTGTTATTATTTTATAGGAAAGATTAGCCAAAGAGCAACATAAACAAAACAAAAGACTGGAGAAAGCAAATAGTCTTAATGGAGAAAGATCTGAGAGCGTCAATAGTAGCGGTGCGACATCTATCGGAACGTTGACACCACCTTCAACGACAGGTAGGACAATTAATATTTTAAAATCCACTGGGAAACTAAGTTCCTGTAGCTGGCTGTATACCATGTATCACAAAAAGTTTTAGTTCAAATCCTTTTTAAAAGGTATATAAAAAAAATAGCCAAATGGGTTATATCACAATTACATTACAGCACGTTTTCGGAATGTTAATTCCATCATCAGTGTAACCTGAAAGTATATAACCATTTTAATTAAAAAGAACGTAAAATTTAAAATGTTGACTAAGGTTGCAAAATGCAAAATGTGGTTAATACTTACGAAGTATACATGCTATGAGCCACTAAAATATATGGGTAAAAACCCGTTAAATGTCGTTAATTTATAGTTTTGTTACATTATATGTTATTACAAATTAGGATGTTCAAGTTACCGTTGGAATTGGTAAGATGACGACGTATGACTCTACATAGGTTACATGGTCCTGAGACAAAGTGTCTTCGAGGACCTGTTGATAACAACTGATAAAAATGAAAATATTGACATATTAGGATGGATGTCGGAACAAAGCAGTCAGTGCAAGTTACGGTAGTTGTCTAAAAATGGCAGAAGCCAGCATTATTTAAAATTGAATAAGTTAAAATTATAATAATATAACAGTATCAGCCATCAATGTCTGTAATTTGAATTTGTCCTATATTTATGTTGAAAATATTGAAAAAATTGTTTTATAAATTAATGTAGGTAGACTGAAGTACGTAAAATTTTGTAGGTATCGATAGGCTGTGACGGGTAGCTCTTTCGAAGCGACAGACAGTAAAACACAGGTTGAAATAAAAATAAATCTATTAATTCTAACGTATGTACAAAAATAAAAATAACATATATTCAATATCCCCGCCTAGATCCCGCGAGTGTGAATTCCCCGGCGGACGTCCGTAAAAGAAAAAAAAATTATTGTTATTAACAAAAAATGAAATACGCGAATTCGATCGCACGCAGGCAGATCCACGTTATATGGTAACGTTCAATCCACGATACCCACGGGTTCTGCTTGATTAAGGACAGAGTATAATCCTCATTGCGGAAGTCTCTCTGTCCGGGTGGGCTCGTAGATTCAATACACTAGCGAGCAAGAGAGCCTAAAGCGTTAGCCACAAGACTTATTTAATTCCGCCAGTCGTTCGCTTTAAATAGCCGCTCCGGAAACCACCTCGTCGTCTCGTCGTGGAAATGGATGCGTGTTTATCGACACTCCCACGGTTCGAACTGTTAAACGTTCCGCACATCGTTACAAGGCAACCAACTATACATGTGTCTAATTTATTTCTTCTTAACTAACGATTTTAACAAAAGGCCCTGTATGTTATGTAACATTTGGTACCTAGAAAATAGTAAAAAAGACATATGTAGGAAGATGGGTTGTATAAAATTTATTTATGAGGAGTGATGTAGTAAATGATATGTTTAAATGTGCTGTTGAGATAAAATTTAAATATGATAAGAATTTTTTTGTAATGTGATGTTCATGTAGTACTTAACTTACAACTTAAGCATGGAAGGCCCTCTATGTCAAAAAACAACATTTGGTAACTGGTAAATATAAAAGATTTTTTAAGTTATAAGTTCATGAACATAAATTACTGGTTCGGTGTGAAAAATAAAGATGGTAAGTTGTTTTTGTGTGTTGACAAGTATGCAAGACAAACAGAAAATTGATGGTTGAAAGGGGGTTTGGTATTGTATTGTTCATACATTGCTCAAGTTATAACTTAAGAAAAAGGCCCTATATGTTAAAAGGAACTTTAGGATTTTTTATGTATGCTTCTGGCTGATTTGGTGAATTCCAAACTATGTGTTTGCAACTGTTTACCATCTTTGCTCTTTCTTTTTGTAGGTTTATAGTTACTCTAGCTCTTACTGTTCTGTGGTATCGTCCTCCTGATAGTTTATTGAGTACAGTGACATCTTGAATAATTTGCTTTTTGTCTATTATTATATAATCATATTCGATCTTAGTTCTTCCGTCTGGACTAGCCCACGTCCATTTTCTATTCCGTTTCTTCTTAAAAAAGTTGTTCGTTGGCATCCCTGAAGTAAGTCTATCCTCCACTGGGATTGTAGAAGAGTACCTACCCGCTACACATAATCATATAATCACATAATCAGCATCATAAATTTTTTAGTATATATCTAATATAACTTAAATTTTTCTTTAGGTTCAAACGTTCCGTCACCTCCGCCGCCGCCGCCCCCACCTCCGCCTGCGCCGCCATTGGACGGTATCCCGCCTCCGCCGCCACCCATCATCAACGGTTCCAGTCAACCGGCGGCCAACTCAGACAAAGACCGTTCCGAACTCCTCGGAGCAATTTGCAACTTTAACAAATCTGCGCTAAGAAAAACCAAAGTCTCTTGAATTCTTAAACTAAGTATCAAAAACAGAGCTAGCCAGTTTTGGTTTTTGTGAAAGGTTTGATCCAGCTCTTGGTAAAGTCTGAATTTTATAAGCCGAACGGCATTTCGTCCAAATAACGTTGCTGGTTAGTAAAATTGGAGAAATTTGGTAAACAAACGTTGATAGGTACGTCCATATGGAAAATTATGATAGATTGTACAGAAGTGGGAAATGCAAGATTGCTGGCTGGGTGAGGCTCGCCACAATTTTATAAATGTATACTATACACACAAAAAACATACAAAGTTTTCCCGTGCCTACTTCTTTTTGCTTCTAAATCATATCTGAGCTACAATTCGCGGGATAATAAATTAATTGAGTGTATCTTTCAAATAAAAACGTTGTCGAGAAGTTTGATAGTCTTATATAACAAATAAACTTTTATGTCAGGCATATCCTTATCTCGTTTTTTCAGAACCAACACTAGTAACAAACAACAACGTCAGTAATAAAATTATTATAGCTATATACAAGACGGTATTTGTCATTTTTTTAGCTTGAGTAGTTTTCTAATTTTTTGGTTTCAACCACTAGCTAGAGATATTATTCAAACGCAGTGGTATGAAATTCAAAGTGGATCTTCTACGTTAAATTGAAATTCTTACTGATGAGTACTATCGTTTTACAGCTCATTTATGAGAAAAATCGGTGATATTTTGCTGTTTTTATCTTGTATTAATACTAATTATGCCTAACTAAAAGGATAGGAATGTGCCAGACATAAAAAATTAAGTGTTTTTTATTGTAGTATTTAAAAATGATTGTATGAGATTCACCACTTTGGTATATCGTTAAATGTAATGTGAACATAAATGAATTGGTCTGTTTGTCCAATATTTAAACGATGTTTTTAAAATGATATATCATGTTTTTCTCTCTTTCATGTGCAGCGTTGGAACTTTAACAAATGCATCTACAACCGATATATCTTGCAACATTACAAACTTACTCTGCTCCTACGCGTATTTATCAAGAAATATTCTCGATTATTTAACTAATATTGGTTTACAAATGTCGCCTCTTTCAGCTTCACAAACTCCTAAACTTTCTTAAAAGTTCAGAAATCTTCTGTCCGAGTTCTTCTAAATTTTTAGGTATTTCATGAAGGTGATTATAAATTCTGTTGTCCACCAATTAAACCAAAAAATCACTTGGTGTTCGGTCTGCAGAACAAGGTGGCCACTGAATTCTATGTACGATGAGTGTGATCAGGCCAATACCTCCAATTTCTCCGCTGTTTTACTTCTTCTTTTCGTGCCATATCCTCATTGAACGTTGACGATCCTTCTAGTTCACAAAAGTGTGTTTACAGCGGTTCTAATCAGTTCTAAGGCTGTTTTGCCCGTCCACTATCCCAGGTTTTTTTGCCATGAGATTCGTCGTCTACCAGGTCATCAGGTTTCTTTTAATTTACTCTGCGTGATAACTTTTAGAATGTGCTATTTATCGTTTCTCAACACATGACCAAAATATGCCTCTATCCTTATAGTAGAGTTGAGAATACATAACAGTTAATTATGCGAAGTGTAATTGTTAGATGAATCATAAGTTCCTAAATGATTTCAAAAGTTCATAAATCTTCGAGTTTTTCTAATTTTTAGGTATTTTATGAAGGTGATCATAAATTCTGTTGTCCACGAATTATGCAAAAAAATACACTTGTTGTTAGGTCTGTGTAACAAGGAGGCCACTGAATTCTGAGTACGATGGATGTTATCAAGCCAATTTCTCTAGTTTTTGACACGTTTCTAACCACACTGGAAGTAGTTCCTAATTTCTCCGCTGTTTAACTACTAAACTATAGTTCAATCATTTCACCACTGGTTTTAACCTTCATCAGGTATAGCCCTTACAGGACTAACACCTCAACAACAGTTAGAGTAAAGATTCCTTCAACGAGGAATTGTTTAAATTATTTTTATGCAATGACTTTATAACACTGAGAAGTGGTCGTTAACATGGAAGTCAACTTCCGACGATTTAATAGCAACTCTCTTGTTGTATCTGGTACAATTCTCCTTGATGTTCGTAGCGGTATTGCCAAAATAAAATATGGTCTCTATCCATATATGTATATAACCTTAATAAAGCCCATCTGAATCCAGTCTTGTACATCTGAGGGCATTTGGTGTGTCATCCACGAATTAAACCAAAAACATCACTTGAGGTTAGGTCTGCAAAACAAGGTGGTCACTGATGTGTTACCAGTTGTGTTTTTATTCGATTAACTTGTATGACTAGAAATTGGTCGTTAACATGAACTCAAAGGGAACACTCGACGACTTATAATAAATCACTGGTTCTATCTACTTGAAGTCCGTACCGTTGCTGATATAAACTATGGTCTTGTGCATAATATATGTATATCACCTAAAGAAATCTCTATTTACTCTACATCTGAGGAACGATTATCTTGTTATCTTCATTTGTGGTTTTGTCAAAATTTATGATAAATGAATGTTGTGATTTTTATGTAGAAATCTTAACGACTCAAATATGACGAAACATGGGACTAGGTTTATAAAAGACTCAAATTTGAAAATTTATTTTTTAAAAATTGTTTATAAAAATTCTTACTTTTTGAGATGGGCGACCTCCATATTCGGATTCAGCGAAAACTTTTACATAAGATAAAATAGTTTATCTATCCACCCTTCCATGCATACAAAAAGGTACCCAGCTGCCGGACTATTACACACTGTTTCTTGAAATCTGAAGTTGAAGCTCAAACAATAATTTTAAATTGTACTACATTTATAAGACTTTCAAACTTCACCCACTATTGTGCATTTAAAATAATGGCCAGCTCTGTGAAGAAGGTCCACTGTACATATTAATATTAAGGTCTATTTGTGATATAAAAAATTGTCGTATGGATGTTATTTTACTAATTTCTATTTAATTGTATAATATATTACTGTGAAGTAAACTTTTAAGAATATACTTGTAAACGTTATTTTGTTTGAGATACGTATTCAACAAATTCTACAACAAACTGATCTTCATTGCTGTATTTTTCACTGTATCGGAATGAAGAAAATCGATAGTTTTACTCGTGGGTTTTTAACTCGTAATATACAGAACATTGACAAATGTAGATTAGTATGTTTGACCTCTCTAAAATCAACAGTGGCAAAAAATCTTGTTGAATCAAAGCTTCGGAGCTTTGATAAATCCGGCTGGCAACTGCGATGAATTCACTGATCTACGTTTGTAATAAAATGGGCCCGTAATTATAAAGAATTCCGTCTGCAACTACGATGACCTGAGTTCCATACCTATGATGAATCCAGTCATGTGACTACGATGAATCTTGCTAAGCACCTACGATAAATCTAGTTCTGCGCCTGCGATAAACCAGGTATGCTATAATGATGAATCCAGCGTGCAACTTCGATGAATCTATCTAGAAGTAATAATGAATCTTATCCGTAAATGTACGTCTAATACATTCAGCGTTAAACTATGGTAAACCTTGACTGCGGGTGCTAAGAATCCTGTGACTACGATGAATATGTTACTACGATGAATCCGGCTTGTGACTGCGATGAATCTGGCTCCGAGACTTCATGAATACTGCAGCCTTGTGACTACGATGAATCTGATCCATGACTACAATAAATCTGGCCCGCAACTACGATGAATCTGATCCATGACTACGATAAATCTGGCCCGCAACTGCGATGAATCTGATTACGCGAGTTTATGAATCCTGCCCCGCGACTTCGATAAATATCGTGACAGCGATACATCCAGCTTCGTGACTATGACTCCGACCTTCTGACATGATAAATCCGACCTTCTGACTGAAGCCTATTCTATGATCAAAAATCTTGATGAATCAAAGCTTCGTGCCTCATTCGAGGCACGAAACTTTGATAAATCCGGATGGTAGTTGCGATGAATTCACTGATCTACGTTCATAATAAAATGAAGCCGCAATTGTGATGGATTCAGTCCGCAACTATGATGACCCGAGTTCCAACCCTACGATGGACTCAGTCTTGTGCCTACGATGAACTTGTCCAGCACCTACGATAAATCTAGTCCTGCGACTGCGATAAACCCGGTATGCTATAATGATGAATCCAATGATGAATCCAGCGTGCAACTACGATGAATCTACCTAGTGGTAATAATGAATATTAGCCGTAAATGTACGTTTAATACTACGATAAAACGGACCCGCGACTAGGATGAATCTGGCTCCGCAAGTTCATGAATTCTGCGGACCAGTGACTACGATGAATCTGGCCCGCTACTACGATTAATTTGACTCCGCGAATTTATTAATTCTGCCCTGCGAGTACGATGAATCGGACTCGTGAATCCGATCCCCTGACTAGAATGAATCATATCCTCTGACCAAAAATGTTGGTGAATCAAAGCTTCATGCGAGGCACGAAACCGGCTGGCAACTGCGATGAATTTACTTATCTACGTTTATAATAAAATGGAGCCGCAATTGTGATGAATGCAGTCAGCGACTAAGATGACCCGGGTTCCATACTTACGGTGAATCCAGTCTTGTGATTAAGATGAATCTTGTCGAGCAACTACGATGAATTTAGTCAAGTCTTGCGTCTGCGATGAAACTGGTAGGTCACTATGGTCTCCGATAAAACCGGTATACTATAATGATGAATCTCCCTAAAGTAAATTTAACTTCAAGCTGACAATGTAAAAAAATTCACGCTGAAAACACGCGTTTGTTCAGGGTCGGGCTAGTAAATTAAGGATACAATATAAAACAGAGAAACTTTGACAGATTATAGTACACCAATTTTTTAAATATAAAAATGATTTACAAGATCAAGAGCTATTAACCACAAAATAAAGTATGTATGCAGAAAAAGGGAAGTTTATAAACTATCCGTATTTGCGTTATTACCTTTCAGAATCTGATGTAGTACTGTCATCATTAATGTTAATAATGAGAGGCTCAATTTGGATTTCAATTAAATTTCCAACTCCCACATTTTTGGATCTACATTCTTACCTGAAGTTTTGTTAACACAGTTTCACAACATATTTTGTAATTGCACTTTAATTATAAAATAACTTAAAACATATATTAGTATGAGAAAACAATATGAGTGAAACTATCGATGGCATCTAATTAAATTCGTTTAAATATTTTTTCTAGTGGCCGATGCCCTAAACATTTACTGTCTGAACTAAAATCATTAAAGCAATGTATAACCCAGTAATGCATAAAAATCTACAATTAACATATCTAACAACCATTGTTTTTTAACAATCCATATTTTTGCAATTTTATGTTTTACTTTAGGTCTAATAAATATAAATACGTGAAATTGTTACCAAAAAATGTATATGAAATAAAAAGCTTATATCTGGAGTTTGAACAAAATTTAATATTGGATATTTAAA